TACGTTTGAAGAATAACATATTTGTGTGACCTGATAGGACTTATATTCAAATTGTGAATTGTTGAATAGGTAAAGAAGAAAGAGACAATGGGGATCCAGTCAGTAGCGTTTCTAGTGTAGATAAGTCAAGTTGGGTTAATTACTATTCATTGTCCCAGTATCTTAAAATCAAAAACACTACTGATGTTTGCAAATGTGCACAAAAAACTCGCCTGGATAGCTTATGTTTCCTTCTGTATTACATAATATGCCAACTAGGAATTGGAAAGTTTGTTTCCTTCTGTTACATAACATGTCAACAAGGAATAATTTGGGGAAAATGCCAGATTACCAGGAAAGGGAACTCTTCCATCTGCCATTTAGAACAATTACCTGCTGAGAAAAAGATAGAACAAGGTGTTCGACTGATTCTGAGAAAACAAATGTAGTAACAACTTAGCCAACCCCCCGAAAATTGCGACCCTATGCAGGTTTGGACTCCCCCTGCAACTTTCTTTTGGGTCCCTTACATACTCGGGAACTTCAAGGATCCTTTGATGACTTTATCTGGTACCTCAACGAAATGAACCTTGGCTGATACCAATAGAAATGTAATATACAAACAATTAGTTTTTAAAAACCATATTTGGCATAGATCCAAGAAAAATCTCCCATTTCATATATAACAATGGCCACACAGGTTATTTTGGATAAAACATCAACTAGTTTAAATCTAGGACAATAAACCACTACAGCATCCTTTACCTTTATTTTTATATAAAAAATACTTTCTGACCCAAAGCAAGTTTTTCTATTAGCTTCCATAATAACAATCGCTGGGTCACTTCCTCACTAAACACATGTAAACTGGAAACCATGCTCTTAGTGCTTCACATTAACCGACCAAATCCACTATTGCAACTAAACACCATACGCCCCTTAGGATTTATTCCTTTATCCACCGAACAAACCAGCCTGGCCATTGGCCTAGCATTTCATTCAAATACTTTGAACCATCAGTTTGGATTTTATAGTATTTCAATATATATTCAGGTTTATTTTATCACATCAACATACACAACATACGGGACAGTGGGGACCGTGTTGACCGACACAAGAAGAAAGGACACTTTTTCGGAGTTGCTGGAGTGGCCATCACTGCGACAATTAACACAGAATCTTCTTCGACTCGTACTGTTTCCCTAACCATATTTTTTTCAGTAAACCTAGAACTTCTAGGTGACCCAACTTCTGACATTCCTGGCATCCACATTTTTTTAATATACAGGTGGAGCTGGTACCTGGAATAGAGAAAAGAAAGAGGACTATTAGGAACTTTCCCGCTAGCAAAAGTTAACTCAACATTTCGAAAGTGGCAGAAGGTTGCAACCCATAAACTTGGTCAAAGCCATCCATGTTATTGGCCAGTCGGGTGTAATATTGCCTCATCAAAGGCACATGAAGTGTGGCTCTCAAGTCGGACTGACCAGTTTGCATTCCAGCGGTCTTTTGAACCGTCAACTCCTTATCGATAACAACTTAAAACCTTGAACCTAAAATACAATCCTTACAATTCCCTTAGGCATTTCCTACGAGAGTGCGTTAGCATTACAGTGTGATGTGTCTTCACGAAGAGCAATCTCGAAGTCATACTTTTGGAGAACAGTTAACCACCGAGCCAGGTAACCCTCAACAGGGTGTACCGTTAATCTGTTTCAATCAGAGTAATGCTAGACGGATTAGAGTAAGCCAGTTTAGTTAA